GCGTTTTTTTGGCTAATGCCGTTTTTTGTGAATTAACCGAACTGTCATTGCAGAGGTATTTTTGGAGGCCACTGAGCCTTTCACAGTATGCCGCCACAGCAATATGAGACATCCCTGAGACGGAACACAGCAGAGCGCCAACAGCACTTCATCCAGTGTAAGCTTCCGGCGCACGGCGGCTGGGCGCCCCCGAGATGGAACACAGGGACATCACACCCAAAGCGCCAACAGCACTCCATCGAGCAGTGGCCACCTGTCTCATGCCGAGGGTGTTGCGCGACTGCTTTAGCTCCAGGGCGGCCGCCTCATGGGCTAATGTAATAATTAGACGGTGCGTGACACAATGATGGTACTTTTTCCATTGTGGATGCTTGGAAATAACAAAAACAACTCCATTTTTCATGCCACGTCCGCAATTCAACTTGCGGTAAGAACCGAACAATGGGAGCATGGCTCGTGATGGACCCATGTCCACGCCCAAGCCAATGACTGCTCACTGCAGCATAGTGCATGTGGGACACACCAGGATTTTTTTCTGTTTGCAACCGGACGCATGGCCACAGCGTGCCATCGCTATTCGCTGTGTGATTAGTTTTATTTTTTTCCGGAAACAAATAAACCATGAAGTGCGTCCAAGAAATGGTTGCATAAAAGTGGCGCTTTTGCTCCCTAATTCTGTCTTATAAAGCGTCTGTGGGATTGGTCACGTCAAACAGATCAAACCAAATTACCTGCATGTCTGAAGTTCACGCAAATTTTGAGATACGGGGGAGATTCTTGAGATTCTCGCACTCTTTTCGTTCAGTGGGAAAACCCTACACATTTCAGACCAATCCGGCCAAGTAGTGAAATCAAGCTTGGTGCACGGTGTACTGGTGCCAGGCGATAAGTCGTGAATCCGGATAGTGTGCACGTGTGTCGCCAATTGGTGCACCATTTATCCCTTCCGGTGGCTATAGATGTGTGCATCTCTGCTTTTGCATTCCTTGATAACATCTGTAATGGCAACGAGGCCAGAGGGGCTGCATAAACTTAATCTGATTTATGCAAGTGATTGACTCGGGCCCGGTGTTGCTAAACAAGCAGAGGTGACGGCGACAGATGGCGTCTGTCGTCGCAGACGCGTCTGTGGTGACGCAACGGCACAGCCGGCCGCCACCCTGCCCTGGCTGGCTGTCACATCGCCCCAGCTGGGCGCCGCCCCGCCCCCGACCGGCCGCCACACCGCCCCTATCGGCCGCCACCCCGCCCCCGACCGGCCGCCACACCGCCCCTATCGGCCGCCACCTCGCCTCCGGCCGGCCGCCACCCCGCGCCCAGCCGGCCACCGCCCCACCACCAGCCGGCAGCTACCCCGCCCCGGCCGGCAGCTACCCCGCCACCGGCCGGCCGCCACCCTGCCCTGGCCGGCTGTCACATCGCCCCCAGCTGGGCGCCACCCCGCCCCCCGACCGGCCGCCACACCGCCCCTATCGGCCGCCACCCCGCCCCCGACCGGCCGCCACACCGCCCCTATCGGCCGCCACCTCGCCTCCAGCCGGCCGTCACACCGCCCCTATCGGCCACCACCCTGCCCTGGCCGGCTGTCACACCGCCCCCAGCTGGGCGCCACTCCGCCACCGGCCGGCCGCCACACCGCCCCTATCGGCCGCCACCTCGCCCCCCGGCCGACCGCCACCCCACGCCCAGCCGGCCACCACCCCCCCGCCCCCGGCCGGCCGCCACCCCACCACCGGCGGCGCGCCTCGGTGCGCCGCCACATGGATGGATGAGCCGGGCAAGGCTGCGGCCGGTGGCCACCCGGCCTGGCCGCCTTCCAGCATCGGTGACACGCGCTGGACGGCGTGCCTGGCTGTGTTCTAAGCTGAACTGTATCATACTGAATGTGTCGGACCCTGGGAGCAGCAGACATCATTACCGGCGCTAGGTGAAAATATCAAGTTCGTTTTCGGATTTCGGTTCCAGTTTACTCAGCGTCTATCCGCGTTACGCTCCTGGACAGACAACCAGTTTGGATCAGCAGCAGCGTTGATGGTTACGCTTCAGACAGCCCCTCTTGTCATGTCTGGTTTGTTTAGCACAGCTGGCCCCGTAAGCGTGAAGCCAACAGTGTGCAGTGGAGCCAGCAGTCGACAGTGTCACACCGCCAGCGATCATTGCGTCAGCGATCAGTGTCACACCGCCCGGTGCATACCCAGCGCAGTCATTAAGACCTTTGCTCTTCAGTCCAGCCAGCTGCAGCTTAGATTTAGGTCGCAAGAAACGCTAGTGATGAAGCCGTTTTATCCGTCCGCAGCATACCACACAGCTGCACGCTTGTGCCGGGATAGCGACCGAGAGATAATCAGGGATGATCAGCGGGAATGCTGGGATGTCATCGGAAATGTTCCGTTGCACGAACAACGAACATGATCTGGGGGACTCGGTGGTGGGAACCGATATCCCCCGTAAATTTTCAGGCCATGACCGGGAAATAGATTTTGACAAAAGAAAAAATAATGGCCAGCGATCGCAGAAACCTGCAACGATAATAGGTAGGAACTTAGTGTGCTGTTATGTGATGGCACTATGAGCTTCTCGCCTTACTGTAATGTTCGCGTAGAAAACGGCACCACAAAGAGAATGTGGCTGATCCGGCGGAAAACATGGCTGATTTTTAGCAATGAATTGATGCATACATATATATATATATATATATATATATATATATATATATATTCCATGGTCAGCAAAGGACATACCCGCCATGAATTCGACAGTGGTGGCAATATATGAATATCGGCATGATAAAGCGGAGGAGGTGGGAATGCCAATTTCTCATCAACCTACCTATTTAAAGAGGTGTATTGGATTTTTGGACCGTGTGAACACCCTTAGTCATGTCACAGTCAGGGGTCTTTTAAGTCATCAGATTCATCAGCAAAAATTAATTCTGACCAAGGTCATTGCATTGGTTGTCTTATAAAACATACTAGGTATTAGGTCCCAGATGGTCTCCTCTCTTGCAAAAGCTATTGGGTTCCTTGTCAGGTTGTCTATTATTTTAAGACATGTATCTCTAACATTCACAGCAGAACACGTCAGTGGAAACGGCCGCGAAGATGTTTTTCTTTTGACGTTTTCATACTCGAGCTCTACTCCCGTGCCCGGTGCGACGCCGGCGACTCTGCCCTCGGAGTGTTGTCAGCCCTGATCCTCATCCCCAGGACGGCTCCAGATGTCTGTTCCCAGAGCGGTCCCAACTCCCTGTCCTCAGAACGGCCCCAGATCCTGTCCCCAGAACGGTCTCAAATCCCTATCCCCAGAACGACCCCAGATCCTGTCCCCAGAACGGCGGCAGATCCCTGTCCCCAGAACGGTCCCAGATCTCTGTCCTTAAACGGTGTCAACCACGTCACTGTGCGCGGAGCGGTGCCAGTTTGGATCTCTGTCTCCACAACGGTAGCGGTTTTGATTTTATCTTCAAAGCGGCGCCAGCTCTGTCCCCGCCCCGGGAGCGGCGACAGCTCCGTCCTCCTCGGGGAGCGGCGCCAGCTCCGTCCCTCCTCGGGGAGCGGCGCCAGCTCCATCCCAGTTTCAGGAGTGGCACCAGCTCCGTCCCCGCCCAGGGAACGGCGCCAGCTCCGTCCCCATCCCCAAAGAGCGGCGCCAGTACCTTCCCAGTTTCGGGAATGGCGCCAGCTCCGTCCCCGCCCCGGGAGCGGCGCCAGCTCCTTCCCTCCTCGAGGAGCACCGCCAGCTCCGGCCCCGCTCAGGGAGTGGCGCCAGCCAGTTCCGGGCGCGGTCGCAGCTCGCCGCAGCTATCGTGCAGCGGCGGCCGGGCGGGGTCCGCCCGCCGGTCCTTGCCGGTGTGCCCCGTGTTTCCCACGGTGGACGGGGTGGCCCGCCCGACAGTCAGTCCGCCACAGCGCCGGCGGTGGAGTCGCGGCCGCGCCGGTGGACAGCAGGACCAGGCCGGTCACGCCCGGCCGTGGGCCGGGCCCAGCTCGGCCCCCACAGACGGCTGCCGGACGGGCGTGGCGTCTCAGGTGTGGAGTACTGACCTGACTCTCGGGTACAGCTTAGCCACGGGTGAGCAGCCACGTGTGGAACACTGGCCTGGCTGGGAAGCGGTTGGCAGACGACTGTCACCGGTCATATATCTAGCTACTCTTACATGAACTGGTCTTTACCTCAAACCATGATTATCCCGAACATCTACCTGAATCATGGCATTCTGCCGAGCCTGGCGTCCCAATCTTCCCGTGACTCTCTCCCTCCCCCCCCCCCCCCCCCCCCCCCTGCTCGTCCTGGACCGCACCTCGCCGCGGGCCAGAGCGTTGTTGCCCGCTACCAGAGCGCGACTGCGTGACGTAGATGCGGCGATCGTATCTTGCTCCGCCAGCAACCGCCTCCAGTAAACTCAGATTGCTATTCATGAGCACATGTGAAAGATGAAAATTGCAGCATTCCGCCAACACATTTCTAAAGGATGTGTTTCGGAATGTGTAGGAGGGATAACAAATGGCTCAAACTCTGAACGCAGACCAACAAAACAGACCCTCCCTGCTTGTATCCCGAACTCGCCTGGCTGGCGGACTAAGCAGACCCTCCCTGCTTGCATCCCGAACCCGCCTGGCTGGCGGACTAAGCAGACCCTTCCTGCTTGTATCCCGAACTCGCCCGCCACGCAGTGCCATTCCAGTGCAACGAATGAGACTGACGCCGTCCCGTTAACCCGGCGGCTTACGGACACATCTATGTTCGCCATGCAATGTTTAACAGGGATGGCGGCCCTGACACCTCGGCCAAAGGGCAGGTAGGTGAGGCGATGGCCCCGACTCTGCACGGAACGAAGCCATTCATCCATGGCGTTGCAAAGCTTGGATATTCCGGCGGGATACGTGCATTACGTAAGTATCTTGTTGCCCTGTCCCTTGGTCGGCCTCTGACAAGGTGACCTGACCACTGACCGGTGACGTCACGGGGTGATCTGATCACTGACCAGTGACGTCACGGCGTCACTTGACCACCGGGCAGTGACGTGGCGAGATGACCTGACCGCCGACCGCGGACGTCGTGCCGAGGTCGCGGTCGGCCTCGACCGCCACCGCCGCCGCCGCCGCTGGGGGGAGAAAGTGTCGGCGGCGGGTGCGCGCGCGCGCGCCGCCCGCCGCCAGTGCGCCGCCGACAGCCGCGCCGCGCAGTGAGAGTGAGCTGGCCGCCGGGCACGCCGCACACCGTCGCTCCTCGGAGCAGAGTGCCCGGGTCCGCCGGCAGGCACGCGCCGGAGACGCGCCACCTCCGTCAACACCGCGAACTGGGAACCGTCTCGGGAGAGCGGAGTGTGCTAGCTATTGATTGGGGTCCGCGGGGAGCGCGGCCTGCGGTTCGGGACAGCGGTCGAGGTCTGCCTGGATTCTGTCGTCAGGTGAGGAGCAGCGTCCCGCACGTGGCTCCACTCTGCCACCGGTGCTGATGGTCGGGGTGCTGTACCGCTGGCTGGCTGCTGTCAGGGCAGGCGACGCCACAGACTTAGCAAACGCTGTGTGATCCAACGTCGGCCTGGCGGTGGACTGCTTGTTTTCGCAATAAGTGATGCTGACCATCGCCTGTGAGTGCACGCGAGAACAGCATCGCTCTGCCGTACGGCTGCTTGCATAAGTCAGGGCCCGGCTCATGCAAGGCCAGGGCTCTGGACGGAGTCTGTCTGATCCCGACTCTGTGTGTTGGCGTATCCTGCGGAGGGGGCGGATCAGTACTGTTTGGTTGTGCGGACAGATTCTGACGGCATCGCGGGCGACGCGTATGCTCTGAGTCCGCACCACGGCAAACGGTGTGTCGCTTAAAATATCTTAGATCCCAGGTCCAGGCGGTAGGATAACATATCTATAAACGTGCATCCGGCTGGTCATTTAGGGGAAAGTAGATGTGTTCCGCGGCCAAGTCGTGTCACGTTGCCGTGCAGCACGGTAGTTGATCAGATAATCCGCGCCCGAATCTCAGCGGAACTTCCTGCGCGGGAGGTTTTCCTGCTGATTGGACGCAGCCGGGGGCGCAGCGGGCCCCGCCGACCGTCGTGTCTGCCGTCGCCTCCAGTGCACGGGCCGAGCTTGTTTGCACACGGCCGGTCCGGCCGTAAATAGACGTGTGGGACGGACTCCCGCCGAGCCCGGCACAGCCCGGTCCGGCACGCCGTCTCTCGAGGCGGCAGCCGAGCCGCCAGTCCGGGCAACGCCGTCTCTCGGAGGCGGCTGCCGAGCCTCGGCATCCGCCGGTCCGGGCACGGCCCGTCTCTCGGAGGCGGCCGCCGAGCCCCGGTATCCGCCGGTCCGGGCACGGCCGTCTCCGGAGGCGGTCCGCCGAGCCTCGGCAATCCGCCGGTCCGGGCACGGCCGTCTCTCGGAGGCAAGCCTCCGAGCCCCGGTATCCGCCGGTCCTGGCAACGGCCGTCCCTTGAAGGCGGCCGCCGAGCCCCGGCATCCGCCCGGTCCGGACAAACGGGTCGTCTCTCGGAGGGCGGCGCCACGTGCATCCCCCGGTCCGGGTACGGCCGTCTCTCGGAGGCGGCCGCCGAGCCTCGGCAATCCGCCGGTTCGGGGCACGGTGCCGGCCTCTCGGAGGCGGTCCGCCGAGCCTCGGCATCCGCCGTCCGGGCAACGGGCCTTTCTTCTTGGAGGCAGTGCCACGGCACCCGCCGGTCGGGCACGGCCTTACTCTGAGGGGGAGGCGGGTAGCCACGGCACCCGCCGGTCCGGGCACGGCCTTCTCTTGGAGGTGGCGGCCACGGCACCCGCCGGCCCAACCGCAAGCCATCTCTCGGAGGCGGCCGCCGCACTGCGACGCGCGCCCCATTCGGGCAGACTGCTCTCTGACAGCTGGTATGTGCTGGTATGTGACGACAGAGAATCACAACAACTAACGGCCTTCAAGCTCTTCTGCATTTAACAGCCACCGGCACACGCTACGACGGTCTCAAGGCAATAGTTTCACGACATATCCCACTGTGCAATGACCCAAGGGAGACTCATATGCCTGATCAGCTGACACCAAGAGTCTGACAACCATGGAAAAATCGAGGCTGACCTAACTCTTTCGGTCAGGGACGACTGGAACCCGTCGGGCTGCTGTTCTGTTTTTGCTGGTGCTGTCAGCGCGATTATCTGCGCCCTTGGCACCGACCTGCCGGCATTCGTCGGTCTGCGAGGCGACGGTCGATGCCGCTATCTGCGGCGCCGAGCGAGCCCGGCTCTGCACGGCGCACTATCAGAGGCCGTCTGGTGACGGCCGTGTGATGACGGCCGGGCGATAAACCGCCCGGTGATGAGCGCCCGGTGATGACCGCCAGGTGATACCCACCCGGTGATGACCACCAGACGAGCATACCTTGGCTCGTACCGTAACGCCTCGGTGCCTCGCTCCGCATGGCGAGTGGCTGTGTACCGGTCGGCCCTCGCGGGCTGTGCTGAGAGCGCGTCGCTCTGGGCGGTGTCGCTCTGGAAGTTGTCGCTCCGGACGGCGTGGCTATGAACGACGTCGCTCTGGACAGTGTCGTTCTAAACGTTTTTTTCTGGGCAGCGTCGCGCTGGAACGTTCGCCCCAGAAGTGCCGTTCTGAACGTTGTCGCCCTGGACGGGTTGCTTTGGGCGCTGTCGTTTTCGACGTTGCCCTTCCGAACGTTGCCGGTCTGGGGCGTCTTGCTTTGAATGGCTTCGCTCTGGAAGACGTCACTCACCATGGTGTGACTTGAGATGGTATCGCTCTGGATGCCGTTGCCTTCAATGGTATCGCCCTGGAGCGTGTCGTCCTGGACCGTATCGCCCTGTGGCGAGTCGCCCTGGAGCGTGTCGCCCTGGAGCGTGTCGCCCTGGAGCGCGCCGCCCTGGAGCGTGTCGCCCTGGAGCGTGTCGCCCTGGAGCGTGTCGCCCTGGACCGTGCCGTCCTGGAGCGTGTCGCCCTGGAGCGTGTCGCCCTGGAGCGTGTCGCCCTGGACTGTGCCGCCCTGGAGCGCGTCGCCCTGGAGCGTGTCGCCCTGGAGCGTGTCGCCCTGGACCGCGGCGCCCTGGAGCGTATCGCCCTGGAGCGTGTCGCCCTGGAGCGTGTCGCCCTGGAGCGTATCGCCCTGGAGCGTGTCGCCCTGGAGCGTGTCGCTCTGGAGCGTGTCGCCCTGGAGCGCGCCGCCCTGGAGCGCGCCGCCCTGGAGCGTGTCGCCCTGGAGCGTATCGCCCTGGAGCGTATCGCCCTGGCGCGTGTCGCCCTGGACGGTACGCCCATCAGCCGGCCAGCCTGAGCGGCAGACGGACCTCGTGCGTCGCGCCTCACTGTTTACATACCCGCCTGGCGATGGCAGCAGGCGCGCGGCCGGTTCACGGAACCCGGGCGCCCGGCGGTGCCATGTGTGTCACACCGCGTGCACCGTCTGCCGAGGACGCGCCAGGCGGCGCCGGTGCGTGGCGTCCGTCGGGCGCCGGCTCCTGCTCCGCTCCGCAGCGCACGGCGCCCGGTGTCGCCCATTACTGCCGCCGACCATCCTCGGCCGTGAGCGGCGCTGGCTGTACCAGGCTGGGCTGACGTCATTCCTGAAGACCAGCGGCCGCTTAGCCCGTCCCGTGTGTGTGCGGCGCAGGACCGCAGCTCAGGCAGAAGCTCCTTGTTGCTGGGATTAGGTACGGGTATGACGTGTGAGCTCTGGAGATAACAGGCGCTCCTCCAGGAGGTGACATGGTCTGTAAAGTTCGCGTGGGGCCAGCGGATGTTGTTTTTGGAGGGTACTTCAGGCCCGTGCATCGTGTCCTTCAATGTGACTTCCGCCAGATCATGCCCAGTTAGTCTGTTTTGATTGATGCGAACCTTTTCGAATGCGCAATGCATAAATAGCTGATATCTCGACACACAGACTGCTAATTAATTAAACCCCAAGCTGGAAAACAAACAACGTAACCATGTTTAACAAAACGGGGTGCCGAATATTCACTCGTTTATTACGATTAACGCCAACGCCACTTTCTAACAATCCCGGCCCGCAGTGTTAGTGCGACGGGCAGATGGCTGGCGCTGCCATCCCGCGGCTGGACCGTTGCACCTCCGCCCCGCCCGGCCGAGCAGAAAAACAAACAGCGCGCGTCCCATAAACAGCGCGCGGCTAAGGGCGAGCCCGTCGGCGCCGCTGTACGCGGGCACCGCTCGAGAGGTGGCGCTGATGACGTCCGCCGACCTGACGTACCTGACCTTAGGGCCTCGCACCTGACGGCGCCACAGGGTGCGTCTGACCAAGTCCCCGACATGATACACCTGATGAGGTCACCAACCTGATATATCTGACGAGGCCCCGCGTTCGGTCCGGTGCGCTCCGGGAACAGCCACGTTCGGTCCGGCGCACTCCAGGAGCAGCCACGGCCTCTTTTTAAGCGCGATTGGTTTTTGCAGGCTTCGGCTCTCACCTCACGCGGCACTTCGCTGTCAGGAGAGACAATCCAAAACGCCTCTCCTGCCTGACAGCAGTCTCCTCTCGGAGCGGGGACAAGGGGCCTCTCGCCCCCCTCCCCCGGCATGCTCAGGAGCTATGAGCAGCACGCCACAGTGGCCTATCGGGCGCTTCCCCTGAGCGGGCACCTGTCCACGCATGGCTCCTCCCTGCCCTTACGGTAGCCGTCACGCGGCGTGTCGGGCGGACGGCAGCCGTGGCTGCGCTGCCAGCCCGCCGCCGCAGTGCGGACCGCTACCCAGCAGCGCACGCCATCTACGAGTCATGCCGCGTGAACCGGGCAGTTAGCTTCAGTCACGCTGCGTGAGCCAGGCAGATGGCTTCAGTCACGCTGCGCGAGCCAAGCAGTTGGCTTCAGTCCACCGCGCGAACCGGATACCGTCTCTGGCGTCAGAGGGATCAAAGAGCCGCCGTGCATCTGATCAGCAAATTTGCGTGTATGTTGCTTGGACTGTGCTTAATGACTTCCTGAGGAGCCATGAAGATGAAAGCCGTCGGCTCGTAGACGGGGGCTGCGAAGAGCAAACAGTTTGGGGCGGCCCTGGCCTTCCGAGCTGGCACGCCCGCGGGCCGGGGCCCCTCCCCCCCCGCACGACGCTGGCGCCGGACACTGCGTCCCCCCGTCCCCCCCCCCACCTGTCGATGTGCACACGAGGGGTCGGGACCGTCGGCTCTTGCGCGGTGGCTGCCGTCTGGGACACATCGGCGCCCCAGGTGTCGGGCCGTCCGGTGCCAGCGGTCAGTCCCGCCTGCCGTCTGGTGCGTTCCGGCCTGCCCCGTCCGCCCCCGGCACCCACGGCCGGCCTCGCCGCCTGTGCCAGCGACCCAGGTGTCGGGACCGTCCTGTTTGGCCGGGTCAGTCCGCCGGCCCGTCTGGTGCGTCCGCGCCGTCCGCCCCCGCGCACCACACGGACTGGCCTCGCCGATCCTGCCAGACGCCCAGGTGTCGGGACCGTTCCGGTTGCCGCGAGTCATTCCGCCGCCGTCTGGTGCGTCCCGGCCCGCCGGTCCGCCCCCGGCACCCCGGCCGGCCTCGCCGCGTGCCAGCGCCCAGGTGTCGGGCCGTCCGGTGCCGCGGTCAGTCCGCCGCCGTCTGGTGCGTCCGGCGCCGTCCGCCCCCGCACCCACGGCCGGTCCTCAGCCCGCCCTGCACAGCAGCCCAGGTTGTCGGGCCGTCCGGTGCCCGCGGTCAGTCCTGCCGCCGTCTGGTGCGTCCGGCCGCCGGCTCCGGCCCCGGCCACCCAC